CCAGTATTAGGTTTTTGGGTATTTTTTTTATTGCTTCATAACAAATTGTTATATATGATCAACATATTAACTCAGCAATACTACTCAAGAACTTACACAGACAAAATTTACAGGTTCACTCCATAAATTTTCTCATGCAATGTTGACTGTAATTCCTGGACGCTGCACTGACACACAAAGAATTTAAAACATTTATGGACAGCAACACTCAGATATCCTACTGTGATTTACCACATTGAAGCAGTTTATGAACTCTCCCACCTCTTTGACTTCTCAGGTTCATTAATAACCTTACTTGGATCTCTCCTGACACATCTACTGATTGTCGTTTAGTTACCTAGGTCAGACTTGGAGAAGTAGCTTCTTAAAAAGGAAAAATACATGGAGTATTTCTAGCATCAGCTCAGTATTATGACATTAAATGCAAACACTATTTTATTGCTGATGCATTAAAACAAGAAATACAGCACACACTGAAAATTGTATTTGAATTAATTTCTTAATAGGACATGCTTCCAGGACTAGAAATGCCTTTGTATACAATGAATCCACCCAAACTTTGAGACGACTTTTCAAATTCAGTTATTTCTGTCAATATCACTAAAAGTCTATTGGTATCTTCCTAAATTTAATTCTTTTAGAAATAAAAAGTCTACAAGATGAAAATGAAGATCATAACACCCTAAAAATAATTTAAAGGCAATTTCCTCATATATTTCCCCTGTGGTTATTTGGTATATTTTAATTTAATTATTTTGAGGTTATGAGTTTATTACTTTATTCTCGACAGCTCAATATCATAACCAAAAATATATTATTCTGAAGAATGGTCTACAACTGAAATAACAGAATTTCTTTCTTTCTTGATCTGCAAGCATTGCAAAATGAAATCTCTCTAAAACTTTCATCTAATATCTGAGAAAGTAAAGCTGTTTCTTTCATAACAAAGATTTACTTGGCATCTGCACATGCCACTGCATTGCACCAACTTTGGACTGCAGATCCACTTCATTAGGCTCTGAGTTTCACTATATGTCAGTTCTTTACAAGTTGATTTCAGTGTATACAATGCCACAAGTGCAAGGAGGCAGTACTCCTTGCCTCCAATAATAGACACATGTTAAGGTAAGCTAGTATGAACATTTTAATTAGGATTTTTTTCTCATAAAATCAGATATCAGGACTAAAAATGACATTGTAAGGAAATTTTAAAACATTTTTGCTAGTGAGTTAGTTAATCTGTTCTTGAATATATAAGATAAATCATAACTTAACTTCATCCCTTGACCTCTCTTCCAAAGCTCAGTTGTTCCACTTGTACAGAATGCCTAGTCTCAACTTCCTCTTTGGCTTCAAGATTTGATTTCTTTTTCTATCATCTTCTGAGACTGTGAATAATTCCCTTCCTTCATTTACATTATTATTGCTTTTAAGCTATTTATAGACTAATATAATTTACTCTCAAACCTTTCCTCTTCTGGGCTACTTTGTTTAACCCTGTCATTTTCTCCTCTTTGCTTCTGTTGCTTATAGGTGATAATTTCTTTTCTTCTCTGCTATGTATGCTCTTAGACTCTCTAAATCTTTCCTAAGTCTTAAGAAGTACGGGCAGCTGGGCACATTCTTCTCTACATGCTCATCAGTCTAAGATAATGGCGTGTAATTCAGTATAAGGGATGTTCAGATGCTTTGGAGGAACATTTTAAGTGTTGTAGATTGCCTCCTGGAAAGTAAAACCCAAGGGCAAGATACCTTTCTTGATATGTCTTGCAGGACCGGTGCAGAAAGAGAGAGATATTTGAAGTAACTCCTGATTTTAGGTGCTGAGCCTCTCTGTGGCCCCCTTTTCAAACTGCACATTTCAACCTCATACCAGCTGCCAGCTTCCACTATTTCCTAGAAGTTCAATATCTTCACTAGCATAGCATGGTAAAACTAGATGTCAGTTTTAGTTCAGTGCAATCTCATTTTTATTTGGTATTTCACAAATATCCTTATCATTTTGTGCAAAAACTAAGCAATCGATTGTCAAATTTTCCTTTAGTGTCTTCATCCAAAATACAGAGTGAAGGTCCATCTTATTGATTCAGGGAACCTACTAAACCTTTGCTATTTATTATCATGTAAGACTTTCCTCTAGGCCTTATGTATGTCACTTGTTTTAATATTGAATGTCTCTAAAAACAGCTCTCTCTGACAAACTGCGTGGCAATTTTCTAGGTTTCTTTTTTCTTTATCTTCTAGAGATACAAAATTACAGTCAGTGATCAATACAAAGCACATTATACATCAGTGAAGTCTTTTAGATCCAGATATAAAAAAAATGAAAGTATGAAATCATTTAACCATACCTTGTATTTCAAAAGAATATGTTTTGACCTACAGGTCCCAGAACTATTCCACCATCCAGAAAGTGAAACCGAGGCACAACTGAAGAAATGAGGATCCCTCCAAAGAAGAGTATCTGAACTAATAAAGAGAGAATATGACTCATCTTGAAAAGTGACATAGACATGGGAATAACAATGAAAGGTCCATATAGAATGCAGAATGGCTCAAGGTTATGTGGAAACACAATGATTATAATAAATATCCTTCCCCCTTTTTGCAAAGGCCTGAGCTCAGCAGCTCTCCAGAAATTCTAGTTTCAGATGGCTAGAGATCCTTCCTTAGGGCTGAAAGATCTACAGACACACCTAGAGAGATGTGGACAGAGAGGAAACCACCCAATCATCCATTGATCCTGGGAGAGGGCAGAGAGAAAAAAAGAGTGCTACAGTGAATGTTATTTACTGAGAGCTTCTACTGTGGAGCAAGAGCCATCTGGGATCACCCTGAGCTCACAAAAAATATTTTTAAAATGGCAAAGAAGCCTCTGTAAGAGAGAAGAATGGAATCACCTACAAATCCTATGGTGACTAGGTGACTAATTTGGATCCAATTTCCAGAAATGTGTGAAAGCTACTGGCAGGAAGAAGAAATGGAAACGTAAGCGAAAAATAGTTGAAATCAAATTGCAGAAGAGCTGAGTGCCTGCTCAGTTAACAGCAATTCAGATTTGGTCTCTGAACTAAGATCACCCTGTTCATTGGATGTGGAACATCCTCCAAAAGATACTGTCCAAACACAATCATTCACAAGGCAAGTTCCATGAAAGAATGAATTCCACTGGCATTGTACCTGCCAATTCATTAATCATATTCTCTACATATGTTCACATTACCTTACTGTTTCCCTTCATCTCTGTTGATCAACTGTTTATACTGCAGAAAGGGACTGCAGGGATAGACCAGTAAACACCCAATTAATTTAAATCTTTATGATATTATTGTATAAAAAAGCTTAGCATCACTACAGAGTAGCTATAAAAGAGTTCATTTGGGCATGGTGGACAATACATGCTAAACACAAGGAATGAAAGCATAATAAATGCACCGTGCTTTCTATATCTTAATTATACTGTTAAATACTAAGCAGGAAAACAATTGATCTACCTTAATGAATGCATTTTTTCTTTTAAGGAACAATTTAAAAGATATCTTTAATTCCTGTAATCTTTTTTAATGAACAATCAACACAAATCAATTGATTTGAAATTATCCTTTTCTATATAATTTCAAATTCTTCTTGAAGAAATCACATACAAACATAAAAATAATATCTTAAGAATTAACAATCTGCTTGCACAAGACTGCTCATTTTTGTTCTATAATGATGTCTCAAAGTGTAAATGCAGAAAAGGAGAGGATGTATATAATTATTGCTTAGATACAAGCAACTATTCTGGCTGCCTAACCTATTTTGCAGAGCTTTTTGAGGTGTGCTCTTTCTCCATTATTATACAATGAATGCACATGCTTGTCCATGAATTTACAGTGAATACACACTGATCGAACTATTTCTAATCCTTTTCCTTCCAGGCCTTGCTGCTTAAGTACTAGACACATCTGTACCTGTAAGGGACATCTGTTCTCTATGGTGCATCCTTTCTCATGACTTCTCTAATTTTGAGATAGTGTTCTTATTTAGGAGTGAGAAAGGATTTTCCACCATCCTTTATGTTTAATACTGATCACATAAAAGATGGTGGAAAATAAACATAAGGAAAAAGAAAGTTGGTTAGCATTCAAGAAGTCAAACGTCTGCTCATTGCTGTCAGAATATCATTGTGTTTTCAGATGGTGAAGCCAAAGAGATGGACAAAATACTATTTCATCCTCCTTGGCTTCTTTGTGACTAGTTCTATTCAAGTTCTGATTTTTGTTACACATAAATTCATAATTCCCATTTTTAAATGAAACTAATATTTGACTAAACTTTTTCCCCTCTAACTCAGAAATGCGGTCTATCTGTGACATATGTGTGATCATTGCTCTATCTCACCTTGACTAAAATAAACTATTTTTGAAAACAGAAGGATTGAAATCAAAGTGGTTTTAAGATGGCTTATAGCCACAGGAGTTTGGAGGAATATGTTTTCATAAAGGATAATAAGTGGAGCTTAAGTTGCTATGTTTCTCCTGTGGGTGATTCAGTACCTTGATAAATCAAGCTCCAGCCCCAATTTGTCCTCTAAGGAATCCTTTCTCTCATGCTCCAATTCTCCAGGGATTCTAGGAGGAATCCAGGGAGATAAGCTTTAGTAGAGTGAAACTGGCCTTGTGAACATTTCAGTGAACATTTCAATTTTCAGGAAGGGAAAATATCATTTTTTGAGTGCTCGAAAAAAAATTAGCAGTTTTTCAAAGGCTCCCAAGTGAAGCTAAAATTTTTATACAAATGAACCATCACTGTTGCTTCTTCCTCTGAGTAATTATAATATTTTCCCAGCTCTAATCACATTGTTTTAGCTAGTACAGAAATAAAATACATAGTACATAGGACTACAGAGTAAAATAAAACTGACATCATGTTTTAATTTATTTACAGAAAGAGGAATTTGAGACAATATGATTGCTTGTCATCCTCAGATTTTCATTTGCTGTACATGAAATGAGCCTTCACACTTCCAGCTGGGTTTCATTCATTGCTGTCAAATCTCTATGTGCAGATATGGTATACGTCCTATAGGGAGGAAGCAGAGAAGTTATATTGGTTGAAACAAGCTCATGATTAAGTTCCCAAAGATGGGAAGTGATTTTTCCAGAAAATTTGCTCACTCTACAGGCCCAGGAAACCTATCTTTCATTCAG